ATAGTGCGTATATACACACCCAGGTGCTGGAACATAGAAAGCTAAAATCCCCTTTTTTCTGTGTCCTCTTTCTTTCACAATCTTTCACTTTTCAAGACCCACCCACCAGCTGTTGCAAGCACACACACACAGTGACAGGATCTCCTGCAGAAGGCTCCAAGGGTCTGAAGAAAGTGTTGGGAATGTGTACTGAGAGGCCACTGACACTTCCTCTACTTTCTGGTACTGATGACTTGCCTCAGGCATCTAATGCCTTGGCGACTGCTCCCTCCAGACATTTAATGGCAATAAACTACAAATGACAAGCAGAATAAATGGTCTTTGATCTGCTGTGGTGCTTCTCAAAGAGGCTCACTCACTGTGGATTTATCCTGCATTAGTTTTACTGCTGTCACGCATCTGCTCCTTGCACTGCTTCTAATGGATAAGACACGGCTTTCTTAGTAACGATTAAAAAAACCTCACAATTACTGTACATGCAGGTTTAATAACATCCTATCTGAAGTTATTAAAAATGACCACAGACACCAAAAGAAAGAAAAAAGAAAACATCACAACCAGGAAAAGGTTGCTGTCTGTTCATCATCACAAATTTAACAGTTTGTTTCTGGAACACTGGCCAGTGTTATCTTCAGACCTTTCAGGAGACAAAATAAGTATTAACTTATAATGGATGTATAATCTTTATTTGGCCAAGTATGTTACACACAAGGAATTTGTTTCCGGTACAGAACCATCCATCTGCGGCGCCAGCTCAACTGATGGCTCTAACCATCGGGGGCAACTTGGAGGTTTAGTGTCTTGGACATTTCGACATGTGGACTGCAGGGACTGAGATTCGAACCTCCAACCCTTTTTTGGGAGACGACTGCTCTACCCACTGAACCACAGTCATCCCCCATGTATTATCTAATAATTAAAGTTGTTTTCCTAAAAGTGCATTAATTAAGATTTTCTCATAAACAGCATCCACAGTCATAAAAACCATGGCTAAAACTCTAGTTTTGTCATTTCTCAGCTAATAACAGTCAGAGTGATCAAAGTTGGACTGTATATAATGAAATTCATCTGTGGTCATTATGACACTGTCAGGGCCGCTCGGCGGCCGCTGCCTCTCCTCCGTCTTTCTCTCCTCTGCTCTCTTTATCATGTGGGCTCTGCACCTCAGCTGTGTTGCATTCCAGTAATTAGCAACTGGTTTGTCAATGCACACAGCTGGGGTGCATCCCAATGATTGCCTTCCCCACCTTATATAAACCTCTGGCAGACGCTCCGTGCTTGCCGGAACATTAGCTATGTACTGCGCAACCTGGAGTGGGGTAGAATGCTACGCTGACAGACACTGTGCGTTTTGGCTTGACTCTACCACACTACATACGCGCTACGCTATTCACACTACATTACATATTTTTGATTTGTCTCCGGAGCATTGCTATGTTATGGACAATACTTACCCTGTTTCCTGCCGTTGGTTTGTGTGTTCACCTGTTCGTCCTGGTCTCCTTAGTTATCCCTGCCCTTCCCTGGTTGTAAGTATTATGGACCCTGTTATGTTGTCACTTTGTTTGTATTTATTCCATTAAACCTCCTTTTTTGTACTAGCACCTGGATCAGCTATCTTGAGTCCAACCTCAGTTCTCCCTCACCCTCCTGGTGAGGGGGACTAACCATAACAGACACAAGCTGCATAAAATTTAAGTACTTAGTTCACATGGATTTTCGAATCATTCTATCCCAAAATAAATGTTGTCTGTTAGAGGTAAGGTTGTTAGGTCTCAAATCTGACATTGACATCTGAATCATAAAACAGCTCCTCAGGAGTTCTGTAGGAGTGTCCCTTTGAGTTGGGCTGAGGTAACAAATGACCTTTTTATTCTGAAGTCAGTTACTCAGAGCCAAGAGATCAGCATGTGAGCATAAGTGAATGTGAGGTACATGTCATTCATTGAAAATAATGCAGTTTCAGGTTTTGGAACCATAAACTTGGAAGTCACTGGTGCTGATGGAAAGTTTTACTTCTAAGAGCATTCCCTTGCATTATCTTCCCTGGGAATAACAAGTGGTGTTCTCTCCACCATTGTGAGGTGGAGGGGAGTGAGTCTGTTAATTATCTCTGAGGAATTCCTCTATAATCCTCTCTCCTCTGCATGCATATTTGTTACACTCATCTTCCACAGTTGTTCGTGGACTCCTTCTTCCATTCTGCTTCAGTGGATCTGTTCCTGCCCCTTGTGCGTGGTCTTCGTCTTCTTCCACCAGCGCTCCTGTCTGGTGCCGGGCTTCCACCTGTCTCTGAAATCCCCTGTGGCCCTGTCTACACAGTGGGCCTCCATCCAGCATGGTGGGCTGTCCTTTGTCCTCCTGTATTGGGCCCTCTTCTTTCAGTCATCTTTGGGTACTGGGCTACCCGCCTGAGTTTCTTTCCTTTCCTGGCACTGAGCTGCCACTTCTCCTTTCCTCCACTGGCACTGTCTGTGGCCTTCTCATCCTGTACCTGCACCAGGCTGCAGTCTGCTTTCTCCTCTGTCGGCTCCTGCTGACATCTCCCTTGTTTCCCTGACTAAAGCTGCCACCTTGCCTCCAGTGGCTCCTCCTCCATCAGCAGTGGGCACTTTTAGTGCCGCCTCCCTGTGGCCCTCTTTTCCTCCTCTGCCTTCTACTCTGGGGGTGTGGCCCATGACTTTTTTTTTTAAATTCTTTTCTTCTTTAGGCAGGTTCTTTCCTTGACTTCATAGTGTTCTCCTGCCTGAGCCATTCCTCCTCCGTGCGTGCCTCCTCCACAGTCTCCCTCACTGGGTTTCTTGGGGGCTTTAAGACGGTGACATGATTTGCAGATTCACGGCCAACAGTTCTTCAGTCTCTTATTCAGAATCAGAACAACAACTACAGCAGGGTATATCAGACCACCTCATATGCTCACAGGAGTACATCCTCTCAACCCTTGGGATGTGCATAAAGTCCAAATCTGCTCTCTTCTTGGGAAGGTCTTCTGGGGGATCTGCCACAGCCGAGTGCCACATGGATACACCGGAAGCATTCCCCCAAACCACTGTAACAGTCACCAATCAGCATCAGTTCCACGTAAGCATAGTCCTGACTAGTTAAATGCATTAATTAAATGTAAATATACAGTCAAACATAATGGAAAAAAGTGGCCCTATTATAATGACTGCCAGATTGTGTTTACTTTTTTGCCACATCTCTGCAAAACTCAGCTTGCAGAAATGAAGCAGATACATCCGGCCTGTCTGGGGCAGGACAGCAGTACTCATAAGTGGACAGCTAATAGAATGCATGATAGCTATTTCAGTGAATCAAATAACATTTTGCAGCCACTTCAAGCAAACAGATGGACAGTCCATCAACTTGTTAGAGGAAACTGGGGATATTAGAGTCCAGAAAACTGCTTATTTAATTAATGACAACTTCCTGTATACTGTTATTGACAAACTGACATAATACACACCCATTTGGAAAAGGAATGATGTAGTACACTGTCAATATTCTGAGCCACGTTGCTGTATAGTTGATAGTCAGGTTTAGGAATAAGATTAGAGACTGACTGAAATAATAATTTATAGCACGGGATTCTATAGAACAAAAGCATGGTCAGGAAAATATTATGGGTTAAGGCTAACAGCTAATTTGTCCTGTATAGCACATCCATCAAAGCAGGATTTTGCCAATGACATTGTTCTCCTTTGCAGCTGATGTACAAGAGATAAAAAGTATTCAGCTTTGATACAGTACCTTTCAACACTACCTCATTTCCTATGAGTATACCTTTTACTGTGTGTATTTTTGAGAGGGGAAAGCTGTGATCATTTGCCCAACACTGCAGATTAGCCCAAGAGAAAAATAAACACCTTCATGCTTACAGTTCAGCTTTGGCAGAGTGGGGATTTTTGCTGTGACACTGCAGAGCTAAAATAAGCTTTAAAGGATTGGAACAGTCAGGTCAGGTAAAACAAAAAAAGATTTCCACAAAGACACTGGCCTTTGACCCAAAGCATCTAATATGTGTTCTTTTGTTCCTTGTCCCCTCTTGTTTCCTCAGTTGCTTCCACACTCTCTCTGTCTCTCTACCTTGTTTGTGGCTCACTTACACACCCACACAACTTCACACACATATATGCTGCTAGCCCAAAGGTCCTGTTTTTGGTCTGGGGTGTGTGAGTGAGACAAAGGCATTTTCTTGAATAAGACATAGGTATTCTTACCTCCTTTTATAAATCTTTTTGTTTGTTTTACACAGTAATACAATCAGATGGAAATTTCCATGTACTGTCTATCAAACTCTTTGACTGAACCAACTTGTCATTCTAGAAAGAACTACTTTTTTCCATTGCTCATTTGAATCTGGATTTTTATGATCTTGTAAATGTCACAGATTTAGCTTATATAGTCTGCCAAGCAAGGTGATGTAATCTACTGATGAAATCTAGATTTACCGTGGTATGTTTCATCTGTGGTTATTGTTTTGAGATAATGAGCAATGTTACTTTTGCCTCGCAGCAAGAAGGTTCCAAGTTCAAGCCCGGGCCAACCCATGGCCTTTCTGTGCAGAGTTTCCATGTTCTCCCTGTGCCGGTGTGGGTTCTCTCCGGGTACTCCTGCTTCTTCCCACAGTCCAAAGACATGCAGCTTAGGTTGACTGGTGACTCTAAATTGCCCGTAGGAGTTTGTCTATATATCAGCCCTTTGATAGACTGGTAACCTGTCCAGGCTGTACTCTGCCTCTCTCCCAGTGTCAGCTGGGATTGGCTCCAGACCCCTGCGACCCTATTCAGGATTAAGTGGTATAGATATGGATAGATGGATGAAGGAGTTTTACAAATCAGTATACAGTATGTGAATATTAAACCTTTTTTTGAAATCAAATCTCCAGGACCCCTACATTTACCAACAAATTACAGGGGGAACACTGCTCTGGTGACATGTCACCAACCTTCACACCAATCTCTCAAATGTTTTAACATTATATATTTTCTCCTTTTCAGAAAGCACCACTACCACCATGGATGAGGATCAGTGCTACTACAATGAGACCATTGCCTTCTTCTACAACCGCAGTGGCAAATACCTTGCTACTGAATGGAACACTGTTAGCAGGCTGGTGATGGGCCTGGGCATCACTGTGTGCATCTTCATCATGCTTGCTAACCTTCTGGTGATGATCGCCATCTATGTCAACAGGAGATTCCACTTCCCCATTTACTACCTGATGGCCAACCTGGCAGCTGCTGACTTTTTTGCTGGACTGGCTTACTTCTACTTGATGTTCAACACCGGCCCAAACACGAGGCGCCTGACTGTCTCGACATGGCTGCTGCGCCAAGGCCTGATTGACACCAGCCTGACAGCATCTGTTGCCAATCTACTTGCTATTGCCATTGAGCGCCACATCACCGTGTTCCGTATGCAGCTTCACACTCGTATGAGCAACCGACGTGTGGTAGTGGTGATTGTCATAATATGGACCATGTCAATAGTCATGGGGGCCATTCCCAGTGTGGGCTGGAACTGTATTTGTAGTATTAAGACTTGTTCCAACATGGCGCCACTTTACAGCAACTCCTACCTGGTCTTTTGGGCAGTCTTTAACCTGGTGACTTTTGTTGTCATGGTTACACTCTATGCTCACATCTTTATGTATGTGCGGCAGAGGACCATGAGGATGTCGAGGCACAGCTCTGGACCACGTCGCAACCGAGATACCATGATGTCTCTGTTGAAAACCGTGGCAATTGTGTTGGGTAAGAAAGACATACAGTCTGTCTGTCTAGTTGTTTATTGCTATTTATTTATACTGCAAATCATCATACACACATACCAGATAGAAAATACATTAGAATGGTTGAGATGTTATGAGACAATCAAGTTCTTGAGTTGTTTTTGTGCCTTAAACTACATGCATTAAATTCTGTGAATAGCAAACATTCACTATCTCAAGAAGGATATCTCCTGGTAAGCTCTAAATGCATACAGTAACTGAATAAAGGTTTTGCGTGGGTTTTATCAAGGCTATGGATGGTTTTGCATGAAAAATGCAGAAATAAATGCCCATTTAGGCAGCTTACAATATTACTGCTTGTTTAAGACTGGTGAATCAATGAATGATTGAATTTCTGTGCCTGTGAGGTTTCTATCCCACTGTGCATGCATCCTTGCTTGTAAACATGAAAGTCATCTATCTCTGTAGCAGTGAGTGTGATATTGAAGTCATCGGCAGCATCAGAACAATGAATCTGGGTCCCTGAGTCCAAGCACTGTCTGCCTAGCACAACTGCAAGCCTCATACACATCACCACTTATTGTATGTCGAAAGGCTCTTCAGTGCAACATGAAAATGTTCTTTAGTGTTTATCCATCAAGGCGACATTGCATTTCAATTATGTCCTAATTCACTGGCAACCAGACAGGCACATGTGCACATAGAAGGTACCATTTTTTTAGGGGTGGAATAGGATAGATAGGAAGATTTCTTTGACAGATGTCGTATGTTACCTTTATAAAGTGTGGGAGATCATGAAATGTAAAGCTCCAAACCAAATTCAGACCCTCAGTGAGACCCTCATTTACTGACATTTAGTATGGTTCAGAGTCCTGCTCCATTTTCACTGTAAGCAAAATAATATTCTTTGTTGAAGAAAATGAAAATGGAAATTGAACAGTACTGCAATTTGTCAGTCTTGACAGAGACCCAGTTTGGTGGAAAATTACTGAGATCACTAAGAGCACTGAGGAAAAGGTTAGAGGAAGATGAAAAATGAGCCTGCAAGTTATCTTCATAACAGCTCTATAGAAGCCCATGCACAGTTATTGACTGTAAATAAAAACTGGACAAACCCACCGTGACATCACCCATTGGTTTTCTGAAGAGCAGTTTTGAAGCTGAAGTCAGGTCATCACTACACTGGCACTTCATGCCATCTGCTAGGTCTAATCCAAAAATGGGCAAAGAGGCAGAGTGTGAGTGGAGCTCGCTAGACAGGTAACGGCCAGCCACCTATGGTGGGACCCTCATGCCTGTCACTCACCCTTAATTAATGCATAACTTTTACTCTCAATATAATTTAAATGGGCAAGCTATAAAACATTTCACCCCCCATACAGTTGTCATAGAAGGGGAAATTAGCTATAGAGATCAAAACTGTTTTTGTACCAGGCTGCAAACATGTTTATTTCTCCTGTAAAGTTTGGCATTTTAACATGGGAGTCTATGGGGACTGACTCCCTCTGGAGTCAGCCAGAAGTGGCCATTCAGGCGACTTGTTTTAAATGGACTACCTGAAGCCTAGTAGACTGACTTAGCTGTGTGCAATGTTCCTGAAAACAGGATGTATTGGCTGTAGACAAAACATACCAGAGGATTCCATGTGATCCATCTCCTATATGCTTTGTTATCTCATCCTGTTGCCTTTACTCCACACTTAGTTCAAAGCAGGAGACAGCAGAATGTGCTCTGCAGCCAACATTATGTATGGAAGTCAAGAGCATATATTCATTTTCTGCTGCATAGAGTTGCTTTGTTTGTTTCTACTTGTTGTAGTTCAGCACTTTTACAGAAAAGAAACAAGCCACTATGAGTCTCATCTGCAGACTTTTCCATGATTCTTAAAGACTTTAAGGTGCTGAGAGGTAGGTTAACATTGAAGAAAGAGTTTACATTTAGAAAGGGTAGAGCCACATGACCTGCATTATTGTAACAATATGACCATGTAAAAGTTTGAAAGTCCAATTCTGTCATGCCCTTGTGCAGTCAGTGATCCATTTACCTCTACAAAGAAAAGTCATCCAATAACAAGACTGTCCTCTTGTAAAAAATGACTGTATGTAATTTGTGCCAGCAGGTTATTATGATAAGCAGTTACATATTATAGTTTGGCAGCTTCTAATGAGCACAGTAATTATGACACAAACAAAGGACGAAGTTAGCTGACATAGTATGTAGAGCAACAAAGTCTGCATTAGGATGAGGGAGGTTGGAATGAGTGGCTGGTATGCAAAACAGAAGACTTTTCCCCTGGTCTTCTCGTTTTCACCCAACCAAGTAATGTTTGTTCCTAAACCTAACCAAGTAGTTCCTGTGCCTTAAAGTAATGAAACCATGAGGGTTTCTTAATTGTAACAGTATAATTACGACATTGTCCATGAGGATGTAGTTATGGTATGCTTGCGGTCATAGCTGTGTATTTATGGGTGTTTCAATGATGTTGAAATACTGTAAAGCTTGCCGGTTAGACGTACAGTATGTTGCCATTAATGTTGGCAAAGTTCTTGCAATTCTACCTGCTAGTGTAGGAGCGCTATTTCAGGACATGCTTCTATGGGTCATAGGAGAGGAAAGAGACAAACAGCCATATGGGACATACATGCACATATGTAGGTTAAAGAACTTGTTTCCCATAACACTTGCTTCTATTTGGGGAAAAAAAAATCATAAATATGTGCAGACATGTTCCAGATGCTGATAAGTGACTGCTACACCCTTTAAGAGTTTCTCAGTATCAGGTTCTGTCAGTAAAGGCTTAGCTTGGAGTCAGTGACGTGATGGTCTAAATTTATTTTTTTTAAAATCACAAAAGCATTATCAGAGGTTTGAATTGACTACTGTAGTTAAAGAAAAGTTCAACTATTTTATTTTCAAAATAAAAGAACAAAGTGTGGTTAACTGATAAGTCAGGCAATACATTTTTTGTATTACAATCAGAGGTTATAACAATAAATTTATGAACAAAATCAGTCAAACTGCTTTAGCAGATTTTCTGCCACTGGTAAGAATAGTTTTACTATGATTGTGACAGCTACACAAATATCATTGTAAATCTGAATAATAATTGTTTTGGAATACCTGAAACAAAATTTGCATTTGTTTCTTTTCAGAAAGTTGTTTAAAAAAAGAGTAAGGTAAAAGAGTAATGAGAGTGTGATGTGCTTTGGTTCAGTCTGGTATCCACTATGAAGGATGTTTTAAACACCTTTTTTTTACTTTTGCACTGATAGAAGGAAGGTACTTGTCTGTCTCAGCTGGATATAAAGTACAGTCAATTTTTTTTCACATTTTTCAGTCACATTTCTCCCATTTCAGTTAGAAAAGTCCCTGTTTACTTGTTCTTGTGTTACTCTGACCAGTGCATGACAAAAGAGGTACTAAAGCATTCAGTCTCAAGTGAGGTTAAAGTTGCCAGAGAACTGTGGGTTTTATGTTTGACTTCCTATGGTAAGGTTGAAATGAGTTCAGTCTTTGGTGCTTGACCACAGAATAAACCTCATAGTGTTTCCCTGTCCAGATTCTCCCATATGCTGACTAGATTATAAAGCAGCAACTGTTACTGTACCCTGCTGCCTGTTGTCTTCTCTACTTGTCCCTTTTGGGGTGTTGTTAAACCAACTATTGGCTTGGAGAGGCAGTATGAGATAGGAAAATGGTGTGAGATAGAAAAAGAAGGAAAAACTGTTTAAACACATTTGCAAACATACATAAACGGAGGCACCTACTGTATCCATATAGTCTCTGTCACATTCAGATGAACCCTCAGGCTTAACCATAGGGATGGGGATTCACACATGTAGAGTTAGCATTCAAACACACACTTGCAAACAGATATAATAAAATGGTTTCTGATGCCTTTAAAGGTGCATTAAGATTTTATAACCTGCATGAAAAATCAAGTGATAACAGAATGAGATATATCACACCCTTTATGACAATATACACTCTCTAAATCTAGTCAACTGATACTGATCTGATGGAAAAAGCTGACATGTCAGCTCATAGATAATCTTGCTATCTTGCAGCCACTTGTGCTTTTCTTCTGGAAAAAAAATTGAATGACACCAACAGAAATTCTCTTCATCACTCTTCAGGCTGTGTGTGTGTGCCTATATGTGTCAGGTGTTAGCTCATGTGGAGGTTCTCTATGAATGAATTGATTATGTTAAAGCACATGCTGCTGTATGTGGTTGCATCGTCAGACAGTGTGGAGTGCCAAGACATGCCATAGCTCCAACACATGCACACAGATGCCATAATGCTGACTTACACTTGTTTTCACAGCACATAGTATAACCAATTAATTTGAAACCCAAGGACTCAAAGTGAGGAGAGAGAGTATTCACATACATACCTTTAGACACACACACACATTTCTGTCACTCTACTGCATGTGTATCTTCTGTCTAACTGGGAGCTGAACCAGTCAGAGCTTATTATAAGCCAAAGCCTTCAATCCGCTGCCAGTGTGCTAACATAACTGATATGCATTGTACAGTGTCACCTGTTTTCTGTGTGTGTTTAAGTAAAGGAGTTTCTGTGCACGGTCACAAGCATAACGTGATTCGTGTGGGTCAGGCGATCTGTGCACACTCATCTAACAATCTGTAAATACATTTTAAAAAACTGTGCACAGAAAGTTGTTTTTGTGCATTTGTAAATCTTGATTTTATTTGTGGATGGACGAACAGGCATTTCATGAGACAACGCACAAATTGATTTTTACACATTTTGTAATCTTGACTGTAATTGTAAATTTGTGACTATATACAAGAAATTTACCCCCATACGTTTGCTCTTTTAAGTTGATTTGGGGCACTTTTGCTTATTTATTATTATATACAAAGTGTGCTGTGTAGAGGCAGACAGAGTGGTAGACCTGTGACAAGGTCAGAGGTTGGACTGGACATGATCTGCCAACATCGAGCTTTTTTTGTGTTAGTGGCAGAATTCAGAGGTTCCTTCAGGGAGAAATTCCTT